AATATGTTTGCCTTAGAGAGAGTAAAACCAGGCTGTTCCTTGGAGGCAAGGATTTTGAAGCTCCATCTCACACACTTTGGGCATATTACAAGGAGAGACCAGACACCCCTGGCCCCAGTTATTCTATCAATCCATCTCCTCTGGGGTCTCCTCCTGTGCTGTTCCTCCACCCTTCCAAGCATGATGTCCTTCTCCAAGGATCAGTCCCTCTTGGGACCAAAGTATGTGAGTCAGAGTATCAAAATCCTAGCTTCCAATGAGAAACTTGGCTTCTCCTCTCCAAGAGAGACCTTTTTGTTTTCTTGGCAATCTATGGTATGTTCAAGACTCTTCACCAGCATCACAACTCAAAGGCATCAATTCTTATTCTGTCACCCTTAGTCAATGTCCAGCTCTGATGCATAGCAAGTAATTGTAAAGACCATGGCCTGGATCAGGCATGCCCTAGTCTCCAGACTGACACTGCTCCTTCACAGAAATCTGGAGAGGTCTCTAACAGTGGGTGTATCTAATGGAATTTGTCTTTTGATTTCCTGACTGCTGGTGCCAAGAGTGTTGATTGTGGAGCTGAGCAAGCTGTAACTGTTAACCTCAATCTTTTCTCCATCCATCATGCTGCTGCCAACTGGGCCAGTGGTGAGAATCTTTGTCTTCTTGATGTTTAGCTTCAATACATATGAAAGACTACAGTCCTTGACCTTCTGCCACAAGTGCTTCAGGTCGTCCTCAGTTTCAGCAAGAAACGTATCATCTGCATAATGTAATTTGTTATTAAGTCTTCTTCCAATCCTGATACCACATTCCTCCTCATAAAGCCCAGGCTCATGAATTATTTGTTCTGTATCTAGAGCCAAGAGTTGTGGAGACAGGACACATCCCTGATGCACTTCCTTCCTGATTTTGAACCATGCACTGTTTCTCTGCTCTGTTCTGAGGACTTCCTGGTCCAACTATAGGTTTTGCATAAGCACAGTCAAGTATTCTGGGATTCCCATTCTCCTCAAGGTTAGCCACAATTTGTCGTGATCCACAAAGTCAAATGACTTGCAGAGTCAAAACTTTTGTAATAAAATAAAATAATAAAAAATAAATAATAATAAAAAGAATAAAAGTAAAAATTTTTGTGGTAAGTAAAACTGGAAAAACATATTAACTTTTTTACTGGTTTTATACTTTCTGGGGTAGTAAAATAATCCACGGCCAATGAGTAGGTTCCAACACAAAGTGACCCTCTATTGGATTTATGAGGCTGTATCTTTAAGGGAAGACAATGTCCATCTTTCTTCCCTGGACTGGCTGGCTGTTGGATTCAAACTGCTGTTCTTTTAGTTACCAGTCTTATGAACATTATGAACTATACTACCAATGCCCCTTAAAAATAAAGGAGTGTCCTGGGTAGAGGAAAGAGTTCAGCTATTAATTAAAAGGCTGGAGGTTTGAGTCTGGCCATCTACTTCTGAAAAGTCAGCCATTATAAATCCTGTGGAGAAAACAATTCCACTCTGACACATGTAGAATTGTCCTGAGTCAGAACTGACTCAATGGCAACTGCTTTATCTTTCCTTTCATGACTGTAAGGGAACTCTAGTGGCTTAGTGGGAAAAGAATTGTGCTGCCAACCCAAAAGTACATGGCTTGAACCTACCAGCCACTGTGTGGGAGAAAGACAGACATTCTCCATCCGTGTACACAGATACTGCTCTGAAAACCTACTAGAGGGTCAGTTATGACTTCATAATATACAACAACAACATCGTGATTATTAATGGTCATAACTGTGATCATTAATAATATGGATCAAGCAAATGAATCTTTAAAGACTAGAAGAAGTAAATGTGGACTATTTAAAATAGACATATATTGTACAATTTACATACCATGGTCACATTACTGTCCAACTGCTGTGACTTCCAGTGACTTCTATGCTTGTTCACATTCTAAGAGGAAAAATGTCAGTGATTTCCAGAGAATGAATGAATAAAACTAGTCTCTGCACAAAATTCTAACAATCCTAATACCTGGAAAATACGCATCAAGCTATCCTAATACCTGGAAAATACGCATCAAGCTATGCTTAAGGGTTACAATAATAATTTGGAAATTGCTTCATAAATATTCTTATAGCATCTATATTTCAGATCCACGAATCCTGTCTTTTCCTATTACAATTTCAGAGCAGAAATAAATCAGAGGAAAAGATTGAATTTGATTTAACTAAATTTACCTGTCGAACAGTTGAAAACTGTGCTACTTGTTGTTGTTGCCACTGAAGTGTTGGGGAATACCCTTCAGGAGCAGGTTGGCAACCTGAAAGCTGGAGATCAATCAGAAATGTTACTGTCAAGGGTTAGTGTTACAACTAGAATCTCATGCCTGTAAAGAGTAAAACAAGAATTAAAGTAGAATAATTAACACTATAAAAGAGGGAGCTCTTTGATATGATAGTACACACACACACACACTAAAAAAAAAAAAAAAAAGAGGGAGCTCTGGTGGCCTAGTGGTAAGAAGGTGCACTGCAATCTCAGAGGCACCAGGTTCGAATCTACCAGATGCTCTGCTGGAGAAGGAGGGGCAATCTCAGTTTTCTAATACAGTACATATTTTATAACTGATCACATATTGAAATAAAACTGTGTGGTCACTTTTATAAACTGCATACATAAAACACCATCTTTCATCAACTATACCCTCCTTAAAAGGAATTTTAGGAAGCCTTATGGAGTTTGAATTAAAAATATCAGATAAAAGAATTATTTATAACATAAAGAGAAAATTCAATGTAAAAACAACGGTTTTCAATGGGAGACAGACTCCTACCAGAATAGCTAAAATTGAAAACACTGACAATATCAACTGCTACTGGTAGGACCAGAAAACGATATACACATTTTGGAAGATAGTTTCTTTCACAGTTAAATATATGCTTACTATATGATCCAGCAATTGACCTATTAGGCTTTTATTCAAGTGAAATAAAATTTATGTCCATACAAAATGCTGCACCGGAAAATTTAGAGCAGCTTTGTTCATAATTGTAAAAAACTGGAAACAACTAAGAAGTTGCTCATGAAGTGAACATACAAGAGAGTATATTATTTAATGATAACAAGAAATTATTTATCAAACTACGAAAAAAAATATCAAGGAAACATAAATGCACACAACTAAATGAAAAAGCTACATACTATATGATCCCAACTATCTGATATTCCAGAAAAGGCAAACTTAAAAAGATCTAGGAAAGATCAGTAGTTGACAGTATAGTTCAGGGTAAAGTAGGGAAGGATGAATAAGTAAAATAGGACATCTTAAGGGTGGTGAAGGTATCCTTCAAAATCTTGCAATGGTGGCAACACGGCATTTGCATTGGTCAAAACTCACCAAATTATACAAAACAAATAGTGAATCCTAGTATAAACTGTGGATTAATTTCTGCTCCTCAAGCCAGATATGGGTACCACACTAATGCTATACATAGTAGTAATAAGAGAAACTTGTGGGTTAGAGAATGGGAGGTGTATGAGAATCCTGGACTGTCTACACAATTTTTCTGTTAACCTAGAATTGCTCTTATGAATAAAATGCATTCCTTAAAACAAAAGAAACTGAAAATACAACATACCAAAACCTCTGGGATACAGCTTAGGCAGTCCTCAGGGGGCAGTTCATAGCAATAGGAAGACACATAAAAAAGGAAGAAAGAAGAAAAATCAATGCTCTAACTCAACACCTTCATTAAACAGAAAAAGAACAACTATCTAATGCTACAGCCTCTGGAAGAAAGGAAATTATAAGGGCAAGAACTTAAATCATGAGATAGAAAACAGAAAAACAACTGAAACCCTCAATAAGACTAAGATCTGGTTTTTTTAAAGGATCATTAAAATTGACAAATCATTGGCCAACTTAACAAAAGAAATAAAAAAGATGTGGATAACTCGATTAAGAAATGATAGAGGTGACATCACAAGAGAACCAGATGAAATTAAATCAATATCGGGATGCTAAGAGAAGCGATACTCGGATACATTCGAAAACTAGAGGAAATGGACAAATGGACAAATTCCTTGATACTTGATGCCCTACCTAGATTGACCTGGACATTGCAGAACACTTGAAGAGACTCATCACCAAAGAAGAAATTAAACAGGTCATAAGATTTCCAGAAAAGTCCTGGATCAGGTGGTCTCACGGCTGAATTCTACCAAATATTCAGAGAAGACTTATTACCAATTCTATTTAAAGTATTTTAAAAAAAATAGAAAAAGATGGAACACTCCCAGAATCTTTGTATGAAGAAAGTATAACACTAATACCAAAATCAGACAAAGATATTACCAAGAAAGAAAATTACAGACCAATATCTCTTATGAATATAGATACAAAAATCCTTAACAAAATACTGACCAATACTGACCAATAAAAAAATAATTAATATAAATGTTTGAGCCTACTAAGCTTTTCTTTCCTTTTTTTATGAATTTTAATGAACACTTACAGAGATTTTGGATTTTCATTCATTCATTCATTCATTCATTGTTGCACTTTTCTGCCTGCCCACCCCTAGCCCACTAAGCTTTAACACTGAGGAAATGAATTCAAAGTAGTTTTTCTATTGAAGGTAGACATATGTAAAGAATAAATATAGTACTATATGTGCTAAAATATATATTATATATTAAGAGAGAAAATATTACACTGAAGACTCACCTTTTACGTCAGTCTCAGTTTTTAAAGGATAGCATAATGTAAAAATTTAGCTTGTATTTATATATCTTTTCTCCTTCCGTCAGTAACTGCTACTTAGTCAAATCTGTATTTTATGAGATCTATAGATTCATTTAACATTTTGCTGGTTTTGAAATAATGAAATAAAGCTGAATATAACTTGCTATTCATACAACAAGATTTAAGGATGTTCAATTTTTAAAAAGTTCCTTTGGTTCCCTTTAGATTTATTTCTCTTTAGCTAATGAATAGATGGAACAGTTGTGGAGGCACCCAACCAAAGAGTGCATATGCTTTATAGAGGTAGGTTTTAATAACAAAATCCAATCTGATCAATGGGAGCTTTCAGAAAAATTACCTTTTTTAAAATTATTTTATTATTTTTTGTGTGTGTACCATCAAATCGGATCTGACTGGTACAGGAGGAGATTGCGCCTCCTTCTCCAGCAGAGCATCTAGTGGATTAGAACCATGTACCTCTGGGATTGCAGTGCAGCTTCTTGCCACTAGTCTACCAGAGCTCCCTGAAAAATTACCTTTTTAAAACCAACCAACCAAAAAACAAACACTTATTTTTTTAGGTCTAGGGAAGCTTCCTTCCAAATCTTAATGTCAGTCAGACTACTTTCCCTTCTTTTATACCATTTTCCATTTTTGTTTATTATATATTTTAGCCATGTGGAAATAAGAATGAGAATTACCTGTCTCCTACTTAAGTCAAAGTCTATAAAACAATAGCTGGAAAAATTCTAAATAGTCTATCATGAAGGTTATGTTGGAATAAAATAAGAATGAGTAAAAAAAAAAAAAAAACAAACCCACAAGTGACCAATAGAATCTAATAGACTATAAAAACCCATAGTTTATCATGACCATGTGGGATTCACAACAGGTATGCAAGAATGGTCCAACAGAAGAAAAATAATCAACATATTTCATTACATAAACAAGGCAAATAATAAGAACCACATGATTGGAGCAAGTGATGCCAAAAGGCATTTGACAAAATCTAATATCCCTTCCTGATTAAAACACTAAGCAAAATAGGCATAGAAGGGAATTTCCTCAACACAGTGAAAAGTATATATGCAAAACCAAGAGCCAATGTCATTTTCAATGGAGAAAGATTAAAATCATTCTCCTTGAGAAGAGGGACCAGAAAAAGATGTCCACTGTCACCACTCCTATTTAATATTGTATTGGAAGTACTTGCTAGGTCGGTATGACAATAGAACAAAAGATCCAGATTGGAAAAGAGATGGTGAAACTGTCACTATATGCAGATGACATGATAGTCTATACAGAACACTTCAAGGACTCAACAAAAAACTGTTAGAGCTACTAGACCAATTCAGTAGTTGACAATACACAAAATCAATATACAAAAGTCAGTGGGATTCCTCTACAGTAACAAAGTGAACTCAGAAAAGGAAACCAAGAAAGCAATACCTTTTACAGCAACTAACCACAAATTGAGATACTTAGGAATAAACCTAAGTAGCAATAAAAAAGACCTTTACAAAGAAAACTAGAAAACACTTCTGTGAGACACAATAAAAGACCTAAAAAATTGAAAATGTTGCCTGTTCATGGATAGGAAGATTTAATATCGTGAAAATAACAATCTTACCAAAACCAATCTACATGTCTAACACAATTCCAATACTGATAGCAAATTTATTTTCAAAAAGAAAGAAAAGACAATTGGGAAGTGTATCTGGAGAAGAAAGAGACCTTGAATAAGCAAAGAACTTCTGAATAACTAGAATGAAGTAGGAAACATAGTACTCTGATCTCAAAACCTACCATACAGCTATACCAACTAAAACAGCATGGTACTGGTACAATGACAGGCACATAGATCAATGGAATAGAATTAAGAACCCAGAAATTAATCCATCAATTTATGGTCAACTGATATTTGACAAGAAAACAAAACCTATCAAATGGGAAAACAACAACCTCTTCTTCAACAAATGGTGCCGACAAAAGTGGACCTGTAGAAAGTTGAAGCAGAATGCACACTTCTCATCACGCACAAATCAACTCAAAGTGGATGAGAGATCTAGGGGTAAAGCCCCAAACCATAAAGATCATAAGAGACAAGGCAGGATCAAGCTTAGAAGGCTTCGCTCATAGTATAAAAAGGCTGACAAATACAGCCAGAAATACACAACCAGGAGAGGATAAAATTGATGAATGGGACTTTCTAAAGATTAAATCCCGGTGCACATCAAAAACATTTTCCAACAGAGTAAAAAGAAAACCTACTGACTGGGAAAAAACATTTGGCAATACTATCTCAGACAAGGGTCTCATAACAAAAAAGTTTACACAATCCTACAGGGCCTTCACAAGAAAAAGACTGATAACTCTATTACAAAATGGACAAAAGCCATGGAAATGAAATAATCTTTCACAGAGGAAGATATTTGGATGGCTAACGGACACATGAAGAAATGTTCAAAAGAGAGAAGCAAATCAAAACCACAAAGATATATCATCTTACTCCAGTAGCAGTGGCAAAGTTTAACAAGACAGCAAGTAATAAATGTTGGAAAGGAATGGAGAGATAGGAACTATTATACAATTTTGGTGGGACTGTAAGACGGTACAACCACTCTGGAAGGCAGTTTGACATTTCCTCAAAAAAGATGAACACTGAAATTCCATATGACCCAGCTATTCCATTACTTGGAATATATCCCAAGAAAATTAGAAATGAGACACAAAGATTTGCACACCAATGTTCATAATAGCATTATTCACCATCCCAAGAACATGAAAACAGTCCAAATGTCCAAACACAACTCGACAGGATTAAGAAACTGTGGTACATTCATACAATGGAATACTATTCAGCATGCAGGAGCAATGATTTTGAAAATGACAACATAAGTTAGGAGGGGCTGGAGTGCAGTATGCTAAGTAAGCTAACTCAGTCTCATAGTGACAAATAATATATGAGACCATTATTATAGAAATGGAAAGATAACTAGCAAAACGGGTGTGAGGATCCAAGGAGGCAAGAGGATGAGCAGGGGGGTGAAAATGGGCGGGGGAGGGGGGGTAATCATATTGCTGCTCAATTTTATGGGTATAGATAGAGAGGGATGGGAAAAGGAAATGGGAAAGATCCAGTGTGAAAAATAATGGTTGTAAACTTTGTAAGCAAACCAGTACAAAATAAAAATTTATTTAATTTTTTTTTTTTTAGTGAAAAAAATTTTAAATAAATTTTTTATTATTTTGTGTGCGTGTACCGTCAAATCAGATCTGGCTGGTACAGGAGGATATTGCGCCTCCTTCTCCGGCAGAGCATCTGGTGGATTTGAACCATGTTTCTCTGGGATTACAGTGCAGCTTCTTGCCACTAGGCCACCAGAGCTCCCCAAAAATTTATTTTAAATAAATAAAATGCATTAAAGTATTGAAAAACTGAAAAAAAAAATTAAAAAGAAAAACTGCTGTTCTGACTTTTAATTTTTAAAAAATATTTATCTTATATTGGTTTGCATTCAAAATTTGTATACATTGTGTTTCACACTTTTCTTAATTTACATTGTGTTTCATACAAACATTCCCATACACTGTGTTTCATAAAAGTAATCACCATTGAACCAAGCTCACCATTAAACCATCTGGTCCCAATGCATCCTTCCCATTTCCTTTAACGCCTCCCTCCACCCACCTAACAGTGCAACCTTGTGATCACCTCCTCAGACAGTTGACTACTCTTTCTTAGTTCTCTTTGTTATTTTTTGGTCATTATGTTTCTTTTTTTCCCCCATAAATATAAGATACATAATTCTTTGTTTATTCTGTCTTCTTTAAGCAAACATATACTGTACATGAGTAAAGATATGTTCAATCTTCTGTTGTACTTCCAGTGTTTGGCACAATTTAGATGCTTAGCAAGAAATGTGCTGAGGAAATAAATGAAAATAGCCACAATGTGCAAGTAACTAGAAAAAGATAAGATACCTGGGTCTCTATGGTAAGAAGTTGTGCTGCCAAGCGTAAAGGCACTTGGTTTGAATCCATCAGCTGCTCCATGGGAAAAAGATGTGCAATCCTTTCCTATATGATTTACTGCCTTTGAAAATCTGCTGGATGGTCAGTTATGCATCAGTTCCATGAAACCAACTCCAAGGTATATAACAAATCTTAACAAAAAGGCCTGGTGATGTACTTTTTAGGGAATTGCGCTGCTAGCCCAAAGGTTCTGCCTCGCTGGTGATTTGAATTCACCAGCAGTTTACCCAGAATAAGGTGGGAAAATCCTTCCTATGCTATTTAATACCTCCAGAGGGGATCAGCTATGAACTGGTTTCACCTTGTTGATGAATTTAGTATTCTTAAGAAAGGGAACTCTGATGGGGTAGCCTTTATAAAGTTGTGTAATGAAAAGGCCAGCTTCCTGCCAGTTTCAGTCTGTAGAGAAAGATGGACAGTCTCCTCTCATGCCATTTATAGTCGTGGAAACCTGCTGGAGTCAGCTGTAAGAATCTTTGTGAACAAGTGAGACAAAAATTCCTCAAGAAAGGTTTTGGCAGTTTGCTACAGTCACTGTGTCAATCCACTGTGATCAGGGCCCTCTTTTCTCTGCCAACCCTCCACATTTCCAAGCATGATGTCTTTTTCCAAAGATGAGTCCCTCCTAATAAGAACATGCCCAAAGTATGTGGGATGAAGCTTCACCATCTTTGCCTCTAAGGAATGCCCTAGTTGCACTTGGCCCAACATGTTACTTGTTTGTTCTTTTGTCAGTCCATTGGATATTCAGTACTCTTCTCTAATACCACAACTCAAGACAACAATTCTGTCTTTTCTACTCAATGTCCAAATTTCAGACACAAGTGACTGAAAAGACCACGGCTTGAATTAGCTGCACCAGTCCTTAAACTGACTTCACTGCTCCTAGCCACTTTGGCAAGATCTTGATAGCAAGCTTTTCCAAAGAAATACAAATCTTTGGCGAACTCTGGTGGCCTAGTGGCAAGAAGCTGCACTGCAATCCCAGAGGTGTGCAGTTCAAGTCCACCAGATGCTCTGCTGAAGGAGGAACAATTGCCTCCTGTACCAATCAGATCTGATTTGACGGTACACACATTAAAAAAATAATAAAAAATAAATACAAATCTTTGTATTTTGGTTGACTGTGGATCTAAGTGGTACAAATAGCCTGACTGGTGATTTTAATCCATCTGCTGGTGCTTCAGAAGAAACACTTGGGGATGTACTTCTGAAAGATAACTATTTGGAAGATGGACAGCCCTGGTGTTCCACAAAAATAAGAATGGTGAAACTTTATCTCACATACTTTGGGCATGTTATAAGGAAGAGCCAATTCCTAGAAAATGATAGGCTTATAAAAGTCAAGTCAGTGAAGGGAAGGCAAACTTTCAGAGAACTGACACAGTGACTACGATAATGGATTTAAGTACAGCAGAGACTGTGTGTATGGTATGGGACCAGGTAGATTTCAATATGTTGTACATACTGTCACTGTACATTGGAGCTGCCTCAAGGGTACCTGCTGTTGCTGTTGTGTATCATCGCGCTTGAAATCGACCCACAGCTGACCCTCGAGGCAGTACATCACACAAGACTGCTCATCTTTTGCCTGCGGAATAACGGGTGGATATAAACCACAAACCTTTGAGCTGGCAGCAAAATTCCTTACCACTAAACAACGAGAGCTTCCTTCAAGGATACCTAACAATATGGAAATCTACTGAGTGCAGTTCTACTCTGAAACCCATGAGGTCACAATGAATTGTTCTGATACTCTTAAGAAACTGAACCCAGTGAAATTAGAACATGGTATAGACACAACTCTGAAACTGGTAAACCACACTGAATAAAAATCAGTGCAATAAGAATTATGAAGACTGAACTGAAAAGTTTCCTATAAAAGAAAGGGTACAATATGGTGAACACGATGTCATGAAATCAAACGCTTAAATATGTTAAATGGCAAACTTTTGTGTTTATTTTACTGCAACAAAAATAAGTGTACCATTTAGTAATTCATGTAAGCATTTCTTCAGGCCTGAATCAGCAAGCTATCCAAGCTTCCACAAGTGACAAGATTACTGACAGCATGGTTTCTAAGTAGTGAATACTGTCCTTCAAAAAATAAGCACAAGTAGATGTTTAACTCTTGTACCAGTGAAACGTTACTTACATAACTGATACTGTCAAAATAACACAGAAAAGCCTCAGACTTTTAAATTTATTGGAGGGGGTGGGCGGAAATCCCTAAATTGTCAGTACCACTCACAGAAACATTCACAGTTTGCTTCCTTTTCAACTTCTTTGGATCAATTTGAGCTACCACAACATCTGGACATTGGGCTGCTTCGAGCCTGCAAATAAATAATAAACGCAAGAAAATTACTACTGGGCTTTGTTCATGTGTATTTAAGCAATCAATTTCTAGAGCTCATTATTAAATCAGAAAAAAAAATTCCTATCTGCAAATGGGGTGGCTAACAACACATTTCTGAAATGATAAGGTTTAAAAATAAAGGAGCACAAGAAGTAAATAACCCAAGAAGCTTGATTAGCCCCGAACTCCAAGGAGGCGACTTTCTAACCAGAGTAAACAGGGGCGTCGTATGCAATGCCCAGAGGACGCCCAGCCCACCCACACAGGGTCAGATCACTCACTGGACGCGCCTCAGGTATTCCTGAGGGGTCTTCGGGGGCACAGAGGGATCAAAACCTTCTGTCAAGTCGCAGGGCTCTACAGGCAAGAGGCGGGGCATCAACTCTTCTACTACAGACTCCATCGGTACCCACGCCATCGCGCCTCACTCAGGCACCACCGCGCATGCGCCCAGGCCAGGTCATTGCGCAGACGCACAAGCAAGAAGGCTCCTTTGGCGCGGAACCAGAGGTGGGCGGGGCTTGGGGTGGGGAAATGATTGCGCAAACAGAGCGCTCGTTTCCGCATCTCCCGCCCAATCGGGTTAGGGGAGCCTTTGATTGTGTGCTGTGTGGCAACCTAACTCTTTGTCAGACTTAAGCATTGTCTACAACTGCTGTGCATCTTTTTTTGTTAGTATTAAATTTTCTTACTATAGTTACAAAATGTTATATCATACGATATTTGCTTTTATGATGTTGAAGAATAAAACGTTTTTTTGAGCGTAAGATCACTGGATGTGGAGAGTCCTTAAATAAGTCTTGTGGTTGTTGTTTTTGCTTACCATAGAGTGAGAGCAGACCCATAACTGACCCTTCAACGGGTTTTCACAGAGTTAATCGCACTGGAGGAGATTGCCAATCTTTCTCCTGAGGAGCTGCTAGAGGCCTTGAACCACGTTCCTTCGGGATTGCTCTGCAACTTCCTTCCACTAGGTCACAAGAACTCCCTTATATGTTTTAAGTAGGGTCGTTTATTGTTGCTTGTTAAAATTGTCTAGGATAAATATTCTCATTTGGTCATGATTTTTAAATATATTTTCAAAATACAGTTTCCTTCTTGCTCATTTATGTAAAACTGTCAAAATGAGGATAGTGTCTTTTGATTTCCTGACTGCTGGTGCTAAGAGTGTTGATTGTGGAACCAAGTAAACGGTAACTGTTAACCTCCATTTCTTCTCCATTCATCATGCCAATTAGTTGTCTTCTTGATGCTGCACTTCAATCCATATTGAAGATTATAGTCCTCGACCTTCTGCAGCAAGCACTTCCAGTCTTCCTCAGTTTCAGCAAGCAAGGTTGTGTCACCTGATGATGTAGATTGTTGAGGAGGCTTCCTCCAATCTTGATGCCACATTCCTCCTCATAAAGTCCAGTCTCCCAAATTATCTATTGGGTATATAGATTGAAAATGTATGAAGACAGGACACATCCCTAACACACTCCCTTTCTGTTTTTGAACCATGCAGTGTTTCCCTGCTGTGTTATAAGGACTGCTTCCTGGTCCAAGCATAGGTTGTACATGAGCACAATTGTTCTGGGATTCCCATTCTTCCCAAGGTTAATCACAATTTGTTGTGATCTACATAGTCAAATGCCTTTGCATAGTCAATCAAACACAGATAGATAGTCCTCTGATATTCTTTCCCTCTGCCAAGATCCATCTGACATTGACAATAAAGTTTCTAGTGCCACAGCCTCTTCTAAACCCAGCTTGTATTTCTGGGATGGTACTCACAGAAATCAGATTGATTACATCTGTGGAAGGAATCATTGAAGAAGTTCAATATCAGCATTGAAAACTCGTCTAGGTGCTGATTGTGGAACAGACCATCAACTACTCATATGCAAGCTCAAATTAAAGCAAAAGAAGTTAAAATCAAATACACAGGAATCAAAATTTTACTTTCAAGCTGTCCTAACTGAATTTAAAAACCAACTCGGGAACAGGTTTGAGGTCTTGAACTAAAACTAGATTAGTTGTGGGAAGATATCAAGAATATCATTCATGAAGAATGCAGTCATTACAGAAACAGAAGAGGAAGAAAAGACCAAAATGGATATCAGAAGAGACTCTGAATATTGCACTAGAGTGCTGAGACTTTTTTTTTTGTCAACAACAATATTGCCATTATTATAATTTATTCAGAAGGGTGACCCAACAGAGTGTGAAAACTACAGAACAATATCATTGATTTCACATGCAAGAAAGATTCTACTGAAGATTATAAAAAAACGACTGAAACAGCACATTAGCAGAGAACTGCCAGAAGTCCAGGCTGGGTTTAGAAGGTGTCGTTGTACTAGCGATATTGTAGCTGATGTTAGGTGGATCTTAGCTGAAAGCAGGGAATACCAGAAGAATGTATACCTGTGTTTCATTGATCATGCAAAGGCGTTTGACTGTGTGGATCATAACAAAGTGTGGCTGACTCTGAGAAGAATGGGAATCCCAGAACATTTAATTGTGCTAATGCAAAACCTGTACTTGAACCAAGAGGCAGCCATCAGAACAGAGCAGGGTAACACTGCATGGTTCAAAATTGGGAAGGGTGTACACCAGGGATGTGTCCTATCTCTATACCTTTTCAACCTATATGTAGAGCAGATTATCCGAGAGGCTGGGCTCTATGAGGAGAAGTGTGGCATCGGGATTGGTGGACAATCTATCAATAATCTGCATTATGCAGATGACACAACCCTACTTGCTGAAACTGAGGAGGACATCATGCACTTGCTGCAGAGGGTCAAGGACTGCAGCCTTCAGTATGGACTAAAGCTCAATGTCAAGAAGACAAAGATTCTCACCACTGGACCAATTGGTAGCATCAGGATGGATGGGGAAGAGATTGAGATTGTTCACAGTTTTAGTTTGCTCAGCTTCTCGGTCAACACTCTCAGTACTAGCAGCCAGGAAATAAAAAAATGTATTGCGATGGGACAGTCTGCTGTTAGGGACCTCTCTAAAGGACTCAAGAGCAATGGTGTGTCTCTGCAGACTAAGGTGCGTCTGATATAGGCCATGGTCTTTGCAATTACTTGTTATGCATCAGAGAGCTGGACAATGACTAGGGAGGATAGAAGGAGAATTGATGCCTTTGAGCTGTGGTGCTGGAGAAGAGTATTGAATGTACCATGGACTGCCAAGAAAACAAGCAGATTCATCCTGGAGAGGGTTAAACCTGGCTACTCCTTGGAGGCAAGGATTTTGGGGCTTTGTCTGACATACTGTGGACATGTTGTAAGAAGGGACAGTTCCTGGAGAGGGACATCATGCTTAGTAGGGTGGAGGGACAGCGCAGGAGGGGAAGACCCGCTATGAGGTGGATTGATTCAGTGACTGGGGTAATCAGGATGGGTGTGTCAGAGGCAGTGCTATAGGCACAGGATAGAGCAGGGTTTAGGGCTATTGTACATAGGGTCGCTATGAGTCGCAGGCGACTCGACGGCACATAACAACAACAACAACAACAACAACTAAATTCTTAAACCTCTGGGAAGTCGGTTAAATGTTGTTGTTGTTGTTATGTACCATTGAGTCACCTGTGACCCATAGAAAGCCTATATAACTCTTACTAAAACTTTCATCACAACTTGTGAGGTTTTGTAGGGGAGAGAATTAATATAGAATGGTTTCTCTCCTCAAAAGAAGGAGACATTTCCAAAGGCAAATAGACATTTGTTACAGTTAACTCTTTAAAAGAACTTTTTTTATCTAAAACACATGTTATTGCTAAAATGGACATCGATCTTTTAAAATCACTCTGTTTAAATTATAAATAGTTAAAAGGAAAAAGCTAATGCCAACACCTCAAAATTATTATTGCCAAAATTCAGTCAACATTGTGAAATATTAACTGCATTTTGCAGATACGGGAACAAGGCAGAAATACTTTTGTTTGGCTAGGCTCAGGTAGCAAATTGCAAGAAACAGTAGAAGTATTATATTTCTGGTTCTTATTAAACAAATTCTGAGTAAACACAATTAATCTTTACTTTCTAGGGTTTATGTTTATTTTTAAGGCGTTTACAAAAGCCACAACCTGTCGCTGGCAGGCAATTGCATTCAAAACCAGGATGTACCTTTCGTAACTGAAGATAGGGAAGGACAGTCTGGTGTTTAAAACCAAGGAATTGCGGCTTAAGAGGAATACTGTGCAGCTGGGAGATTTGGAAAAACACTGCTTGGCTACAGGTATGCTTTTTATTTAGTTGGTTAAAATATTTTCAAGCTTTTGAGAGAAACCTAAAATTAGAGAATAACTTTCTCTTCCTCATAATATTGGTAATAATTAAGAATCAATTTAAAAAATTAAGTAGTCACCTCATTTCTGGATTTCCTTACCCCCCCTGTTCTTTGAAACTGAGTCTATGGTTAATAATTCCTGCTATTGTAATATAAAAAAATTTTTAAAAACCAAAAAATTATTCCTGCTATTTGTCTTTAGAAAAGAATGGATGATTATCAAAGCACCAACTATCAATGGAAAAACCCACTTTTAACAGTGAACCCCACACAGCAAGTGCGTGGCAGAACTACCCATATGGAACAAGGGAGAAAGAAGAGGAATAGCAGAATGGAACATGAGTTTTCCTGGGAGATAATAATATTTCCCAAAGGAAGAGGTGAGTTACAGACTAAAATGATTCTGACATGTCTCTGAAACTCTAATTAGACTGGAATGAAACAGAAGAGAGTAAATTTAAAACAATAAGTATTATTTTCTGCTACTCCAAATCCAACTTGATTTGAGATAATTATAAGTAAACTATTGGAGATTTTTAATATAAGTATAAATGGTGAAAGTTGTTGGTTGTTTCACTAAGATATGGAACAACTGAAATAAATTCTAATTGATTTGGGGGGAAAGAGCTTAATATCTGGAAAGTGGAAATTCTAAAAATAGGAATAATTTCATTAAACTTCTTTCTTGGTTCAGATATTTCCAATTCTCAGTTTCTTTGAAACAATTTTTGTTTGGCACTATTTCTCACATTGGAGTTGGCTGTGAGGATTATAGACGGATTGTGAGAAAAGAATACGAAACAGCTATTTATTGATCATAGTTATTGTGAGTCATTGAGTTGGAACTGATAGCAGCGTCTGTTAAATCACCATTGCATAATTATACAAAAAAGTTGTTTACTGTGTTTTCTATATCCTTAAGTAGCTCAGGAGCCCTGGCATCAGAATGTTTTACATGTTGGGCTGCTAGCCAAAGGTTGGCTGTTTGAAACCACCAACCACTCCATGGGAAAAAAATGTGGTAGCTTGTTCATGTTGAGATGTACACCTTGGAACCTTGTTGGAGGGTTACCTTGGGCTCGAATCAGCAGTGGGTTAAACATCTTAGTTATTTTTAAGTGTTTGTATATTTCA